TTCTTATTTCTTCTCCACACACCACAACTTGAAGAAATCGTCCCATCCCACCGCTTCACCTCCAATGTATGAGATTTTCTATGGTTAGGTCGGAAAAATAAGTATAGAGGTTACGGAGGACCAATGGTACAAAATTTGGTATAGCTGGTTCTTGACCAGAGGAAAAAAGTCATCCATTTTGGATCGGGATCAAGTGATGATGAAGCAGTCATCTGGGTATCTGTGGCGCATTCATAATGCATAGAATATACCGAAAGTGGTGATGCGTAGAGAACGAAAACATGCTTTCACTTCTTAACCACTGCGCTAACCTCTTCTACAGAACTATCGTGACTTGACCCCCGAGGTTTTTCGATGTGGGGCACCCATCCAAGAATGAACGGAGGTAGATTGCCTCCAAATTGCTCAGGAACTGGGGCCCAATGCAAGGTTGGTCGCTCCACAGAAATTGCGATGAAAACTGAGCCCATCTAATGCTGTTCCCCATCTGGTCCCACATCATTTCCTAGGTGGAACCACGAAGTGACGGAGTAGTGGCCCTTCTTTAGATTACGTGTGTGCCCTAGAGGTCTCGAGCTTCAGTAGAGTTGTGGAGACATCCGATCGGATATGCACAATTTGTTTTGAATCATTCTGGGCTCTGGAGAAACGATAGGCTTCTATCCAAACTATAGCTAATAAAATTTGAAGAGCAACCTCGCGAAAGTTGAAGACAGAGACTACAAGGTGTCGCCATCTTTACTTAGAAGTTTCCTATTCCCACAAATCCTGAGCTAGGCTAGTTATTACCTAAAGGATGAAATCAAATGTAGAGCAGAGGAATGATCAAATTAAGGCAATAGAGGTCTCAGTAGCGAGCATACGCGGCGCGCACGGAATCATGTCAAATAGACGATTAGATGTGGAACTGCCAAAGCATCCGTTACGATGAGAAACGATTCACAGTTCAACCAAGCTTTTATCGATCTAATCAGTAGTAATTCGACTAGACGTCATAAAAGAGGTGGAGTCACTAGGCGTTATCGTGACTATCGCGGACGAATCCAGGGCATTAAGCCTAGGCTATGAAGTTCTTATGCGAAGCTGTAAGGAAAGTATACGTTTTGCGTAGTTCCCCATCAATGGCACCTTCTGACCCCCATCCGATAGTTCACATTGTTTCATCCATCTACCTACACTCACAGAAAAAAAGAGGCCAAACCCGACAAAGTGCCAAAGTGTTCATCGCCGTGGAGCACAGTGAACGAAATCCCTTTCAAGGCTCTTACAATCTCCACTATGGCTTCATCCGACTGAGA